TGGAGGCCGCGTGCACTGCTTGGTTCAGGGCCCCTCCTCCATCTTCAAAGCCAGCAGCACAACATCTTCTCTCCTTTCTGGTCCTTACGTCTTTATCGGACTCTCCCTCATCATCCCTCTTGATAAAATTGGGCCACCTTGCTAATCCAGGATAACCTCTCATTTCAAGACCCTTACTTTAATCACAGCTGCAAAGTCCCGTTGCCTGGCAGAGTGGCAGCCTGTTGCAACACTCTGTTGTCCAGGACAGAGGGATGACCTTGGTGTCCATGTGCAGGAGACTGGTATGTTCCTGTTGGTGGGATCCTGGCATTGAAGATGGCACAACAGGGCAGGAATGCTTTATTTGATTTCAGTCTGGTCTGGTGGAGTGGGGTCTTGGAGCATGGTCTTAAATTCCTCTAGGAAGCCAGAAAGGTGAGATTATATCTCTGGAAGACCCTGTCTAGTGATTGTGACAAAACCAGAGAGGGAAGGTGGTCATCTGAAAGGGACTATGCATGGTTGGGGATAGTCAGTCATTCTCTCATTCATTCCACACATTTCTGAGGGCCTTCCACCGCCGCACCCCCCCGCCCCCCGCCCCCGTGTGCTAGGCACAGTGCAGGAGTTGAGGGGACCTAGATGAATAAGAAACCACCCAGCAGGAATTCATCTACTTGGTGAAGAGTGACATGGAAACAAAGCAATGATGGTTCGGTGATTGATGAAGGAAGGAAGTGATCAAATGTGTAACAAATACATTAGCACAATGCGGGTATGGGGGTGGGATGGGGTAGAGGGGCATTGGGTAGGGACTCCAAGGAGAAACCTTGATGGCAAGAGTGAGGATGGCGGTTCAGGTGCTCGAACAGCACTTGCAGAAGCAAGGAGAAAGGAAGCTGCACGTTGTATTTGATGAGCGAGATGAAATGCTGTCTGGGTGACTATAGCGGGGAACGCAGTACACTGGAGAGGGGGCTGGGGCCAGAAGTGGAATCTGTTTGCCTTGTCTCCTATTTAATGATGAATTCCAAGAAGGCTGTGTGCTGCCTTCTCAACTTGTTAAATCTTTCCACAGCAATTATTGCTCATGTGTGGACTTCCATTAAATGCTCATTGATGATAGGCCTTTCCCAATAGCAAGTCGCCCACACTTGCTTCATCTCCCAAGGTATTATTACATGATAGGGCAGACAAGTCACTTTTATAGGATGCTTCTGGCCTTGTGTCTGATGAGACTTACACTCAAATCAGAGCCTGGTTTATTCTCCTGGTTGACTGCAGGATTGAGTTCATTTCAACCCTACCATTGTATTTCTCTAGGCTTGGACTTGAAGCAAGTAGTTGAAGCAAGTTAGAGCATACAAATGACGCAGGTGCCTGACCTCGTTCCTGAGCCTGGGACTGTGTGCTCACTGCCGCCTCCTGCCTGAGGTGCTGCCCAGGCAGCATAAGTCACTGTCCAAGCAGTGTGGCTCAGTGCGCTCACGCAAGGAGAGAAAAGAAAGTCACTTATTAAATATCATTTGTTCTTCTTCCCAACATCACACTTCATTGCCACCATTCAAATAAATGTCCTAATTTACAGTTTCTGGGAACTTTTGGAAAAGTGGATCCAAACCCCAGGTTACCTGAAATGGGGCAGTTACATGTTTTAATGGCCCTAGGAAATTATATTTTGTCAAAATGAAATAGAATTTTGAAAGGCTTTATAGTCGTTGTGAAAAACAGCCAGCCTCTCCAGATAACACTCATCACAAGGCTGCTCTTGTGAATAGTTCAGCACTCTCTGCAAATAGTATCTCATTAAATCATCCAACCTCCCTGGGAAGAGCTAGCAGCAGCAGCTTGCAGACTCCTTTTTCTCATACTGTAGGGGGTGTTTCTGCTGCCTCAAAAGGAGCCCACCTAAGTTGAGAGTTTTTTATCTTCATGCGGTAACTCGGAATACATCCAGAACAACTTCTGTACACTGGGAGGTGCATTGGGCCTTCCCACCACCAGGGTGCAGGTCTGCTCTCCAGCTGGCCAGTGCCCTTTTCAGTTTCCAGGGAGCCCAGCTCTGTGCTTGAAGCTGACTGAGCTTCTGAGGTAGAGAAAACACGGCCCCTGCTCTTACAGAGCTTACTGTCCAGTGAGGAGGAAGGACACAGAGCAGGTTTCTGCAATTGATGCGGTATGTGATTTGGTGAAGGTAGAGAGTAGCTAGCCCAAGCTAAGTGTCAGGAGAGCTCCCTGACAATTATATCCCCAACTCTGTGGCGGACACTGTGGACATCCTATTCCCAGCTCCCTTTACCTTGCTGATTCTCACTGGAGAGGTTACAAAGCTAAATACTTGCTTTTCCAGCCTCCCTTATAGAGGGGCCATGTGACCTAGTTCTGGCCAGTGAGACAGAAGCAAAATCTATAGTGGCGGAGGGAGGTTCTGAAAAAGCTCTTGTGTTCTTGACTAAGGGGGACAAACTAGTATAGCACCTTGAGTCTTCTTGCTTTGATTGTACCCATGATGCTGTAGCTATAGCAGCAATCTTGTAATCTGAAGGAAAAGCTGAGAGAATTGCAGGGCGTTGGAGAACCAGTGATCCAATGCCAGCAGCTGACAAATTCTAGATTTTTCATCATGTGAGAAACAAATAACCTCTATTTGTTTAAGCCACTGAGGTTAGGCTTCTAAAATTTGCAACCAAATGCATTCCTAACTGATAACAGGCACCTAGCAGGCAGTCAAGAAATTGTGATTAAAGCCATAAATAATGTGATCGATCACCTGAGTTGAGTCTTAACAGATTGGGGTGTGCTGGGTTATTTCAGTTGGAGGAAACTGAAATAGCATGAACAGAAGCTTGAAGCAGGAAGCCATGAGGAGCTCACAAAGGAACCACTCACAAGTAATTCATTGTTCCTAGAATATAAAGAGGCAGGCGGTGGTTGGATGCAAGCCTGGAGAAGCAGACAGTAGGGGCCAGATTAAAACAATGTTCTTAGATACAAAGAGGGTCCCAGGCTCCAGTGACATAAGTGTCCATGTTACCCCTGAAATTGCAGAATTACAGCCAAGGCCACCATAGCAAGAGGAGTGAGAAAGGAAGTGAATGCATTCCTCCTGTTGGCCACTGTATTAGTTAGCTGTTGCTGCATAACAAGTTACCCCAGAACTTAGCAGGTTAAAACAACACACACTTATGATCTCATCATTTCTATATGTCAGAAATATAGATGTGGCTTAACTCTGTCTTCTGACTCAGAGTCTCTTATAAGACACAGGGCTGCAGTCTCATCTGAAGACTCAGCTGGGGAAGGATCCACTTGCACATTCACTCACATGGTTATTGGCAGGATTCAGTTCCTTATCTGCTGTTGGCATCAGAAGTCTCCTTCAGCTGCTTGCCTCATGGGTCTCTCCATGAGGCAACTCACAACAGGACAACTGACTTTATCAAGTGAGCAAGTGAAAAAGCAGAAGAGGGAAGTCTGAGTTCTTTTGTAACTTCTTTCAGAAGTAGAATTCCACTCCTTTGCTGCATTCTGTTCATTAAAAGCAAGTTACAAGTCCAGCCCACAACTCATGGTGAGGGAAGTACAGGTGAACACTGGCAAGTGAGGATCACTGGGAGCCATTTGGCAGCTGCCACCCACAAGCCCACTGCCACCTCCTTTCTCCTTCGCTTCCCCCCTGTCATGCAGCAACATCTGTTTTATCATTGTCATTATCATCACCACAGCCACAGTGATTATCTATTAAACACTTCTTAGGTACCAGACACATAACATATATAGTTCCTTTATCCTCACAACCACTATATAAAGGTAAGTAATATTATCCCCATCTTGAATTTTAGTAAACTGAAGCTCAGAGAGGAACTGTGATTTACCCTACATCACACAGCCAGTAAGAGGTAGAAGTAGGAGTCAAACCAAGGCCTAACCCCAGTGGAGCTCTTCACTGTCTCTCCAGGAGGCAGCATCTCAGAGGTAGGAGAGCCACGTCTGCCAGCCTGCCCTGGAGCCCAGGCTGTTTTCTGCTTTCCTCTAACCTCACCAGCGCTGAAAGCCATAGCATGCAGAGACAAGAGGGTGGGCTAGGCCCTCTCAAAATGCTTGGGCCTAGATGAATGATAGGCAAAATGAAAAAAGATCTGTAAAATAGATCATAGCCCTGCAACAATATTCATTTTCTGATTTTAATCATTGCTCTGTAGTTATATAAGAAAATGTCTTTGTTCATAGAAAACATATACTAAAGCAGCGGTCTCCAACCTTTTGCAACTCACGGACCACCAGTGGTCTGCAGACCACCAGTTGGCAAGTGCTGTTAAAGTATTTAGAAATAAAGAGGTATTATGTCTAGACCTTACTCTCAATCATTTCAGAAAAAAAATTATTTGGTAGATATATGTATGCATACGTGTGTGTCTGTGTGTGTGTGTGTGTGTGTGTGTGTGTGTGTGTAGAAAGAGAGAATGAATGATAAAGCAAATGTGGTAAGATGTTAATATTTGGGGAATCTTAGTAAAGGGTATATGGGAATTCTTTGCATAAGTTTTGCGACTTTTCTTGTAAGTTGGAAATTATTTTAAAATACGTTTTTTTAAAAGTGCTGGTCTACTCTGGGACCTGAGTTCTACTTGGACTATCAAAGACGACATTTCATACCTCCTTTTGACCACAGGGAGACTCATCAGAGGCCAGGGAGGGTATTGTACTTATGAGCAGAACATGGTCTCTGAGGTCAGTCTTTCTGGGTTTCAGTCCTGGCTCTGTGGCTTCTCAGGTTCCTGTGCCGTATAAGTAACCATTGGGGGTTGTTGAAAGGATTTGGTGAGATGAGGGATATACTTTGATGTAGTGTTTAGCACAGTCCCTGGCCCATGGGGAGTCCTCCATAAATGTTGTTATTATTATTATTATTGCCTCCTCAGTCATCTAATAAGTGAGAACTAATGTGCTGTATGTGGTTTAGAGACACTGACTGATCTTCATGTGAACTCCCTAACATGAGTTTTTGTCCCCATTAGGCAGGGTGGCCACTGCAGCAGATGCGGATGTGCCTGACAAGATGAAGAGCCGGATACCCGTGGTGCTCCTGGCCTGTGGCTCCTTCAACCCCATCACCAACATGCACCTGCGCTTGTTTGAGGTGGCCAGAGACCACCTACACCAAACAGGTCAGTCAGGGGCCTACACCAATACTGGTGGGTTGGGCCTCCTGGGGCTTTGCTGGCTGCTGTCATCATCACCATTATTAAAACTGCTTGGTTTGTTCATTCACAGCACAGCTGGTGGCTTACATTTCTTCCATCATATTCCAAGGGTTAACACTCCTTAACGGTGTGACATATCCCTGGCCATATAGTGGAATCCTTCTCAGAGTCCCCCCATACCCCTGCCCATCTCATGTTGCCCATAAATGCTAAAGACACTGAATACTTTATAGAACCTGTGTCTCCGTCAGGGCACCCTGCCAGGTGCTCCCAGAAAGCATTTACCTACACAGCCAGATGAAGGGGTAGCATGTGCCCTTGAGAACCTCTGCTATTCCTCAGTGGGTAAGCAAACATTCTGCAGTTGACCACTGAACAATGAAGGGGTTATGTGGCACTGTCCTTCCCCCCACACACACACACATACACACAGTCAAAAATCCACATATAGCTTCTGACTCCCCCAAAACTTAGCTGTATGGAATTCTCATATACTACTGGTAGGAAAGTGAATGGTGCAACGGCTGTGGAAAACAGCCTGGGAATTTCTTACAAGTTAAATATTTACCTACCATGAGATTCAGCTGCTCCATACCTATTTACCCCCCTCCCCAAAAAATGAAAGCATATGCTTATGCAAAGACTTGTGCACGAATGTTCAGAGCAGCTTTAATTATGATAACCCCAAACTGGCAACAATGCAAGCGCATACCAAGACGTGAATAAATAAAACAGATGGTGTTGTATCCATACAGCGGAGTAGTACTCAGCAATAAAAAAGAATGAACCAAAAACACAGATGAATCTCAATTATGCTGAATAGAAGAAGCCAGACCAAAAGAGAATATATACTATATGAGTTTCATTTATATAAATTTCTAGAAATTGCAAACTACAGTGACGGCAAACAGATTAGTAGTTGAGGGGTTGGGGAGCAACCTGGGGCAGGAGGGAAGGACTACAAAGTGGCCCAAGGAAAGTTTGGGGGATGATGGATATATTCGTTATCTCAATTGTGGTGTTGATTTCACAGGTGTATACATATGTCAAAACTTGCCAAATTATACCTTTTAAATATATGTGACTTACTGTATGCCAATTATACCTTTTTTATTTTATTTATTTATTTTAATTGTTGACAGTATTTACAGATGTCTCTCATCCCCCCTCCTTTACTCCTCTCCATTCAGCCCCTACCCACCACCAAATCAGGTCTTCACCACCCTATTGTTTGTGTCCATGGGCTATGTATATAAGTATATAAGTGCAAATTATACCTTGATAACAGAAATATCAAACTTAAAAAAAAAGACTCCACAAGGTTGCTTCGGTCATATATTAAATGGGATAAATTCTGTAGGACAAGTGACCCAATTTGTTTAACAAATAAGCAGCATGCAAGAAAGAGGAATAGGAAACTGTATGATTCAATGGAGGTTTGAAGACATAGAAACCAAATATCATGTATGGACCTTATTTGAATCCTGATTCAAATCAACTGTAAAATGATATTCATGAGTTGGGGAAATCTTAACACTGACTAGATATTAGATGGTGTTAAAAAATTATTGTTTAAATTTTAAGGTCAATAATTGCTGTTGCTTTAAAATTAAAAAAAAAAGTGTCCTTTTCTCTTAGGAAAAAAGTATATACCCTTGGTGCAGCAATTCCACTTTCCACAATTTCTTATAAAGCAAGTATGTTGGGGGTGGGGAGAATATTTCTATTTTGGGGAAAGAAGGAATATACTCCCTATATATTTTTAAATAGTGTGTGGAATAATGTTCTTTCAGGGTATATAGCTTCTACTTGGCTTGCTATAAATATCTGCTTGACTCTTAGCCACTGAGTGGCTTTTCCTGTCAACTTTGACTCATCAGAAATGCCCCTGGCTTTGTGGCCATTATCTTTGCTGTGAGGGTTATCAGGGCAGGGCCTGTAATCTGTTTTCTAGAATGTGCTGCTTCACAGACAGCTGTATTGGGGACTTCAGATACTTAATGTACTTGCAGACTCTGCTTTAGCCACATGGTAAGACTCTGGCATGACCCTGTGAGTGTCAGAGAGTATTCCTGGTCCCCAAAAGTCACAGAAATCACAGAATGCATGGACACATTATATTATATATGATTTCTATCACTTGGGGTACTAACAGGTAAAGGATCCTTGGTCACAAATGACCTCCAGTACCTTCTTTGCCTTTATTCTCAGTCATTTCTCTATGGAAGAACTTGGTCAGTTTTAAGTCCAGAATGAATTCTCCTGCCCATGTCTTTGAATGTTATACATCGAGTTGACACCTTTCAACATCCCACAGGTATTTACTGCATCTCCCCCAGGCCAGGCACTGTGGTTGGAAATACAGTTGATTAAATTTTCTCCCCTGCCCCAAATAGTGCACAGTGTAGGTGGCCAGAGGTGCACAGTAGCAGGTGATAGTGGCACTAGGTGCAAAGGCGGGATGTCTCCCGCCTGGCAGTTGAGTGAAGCTTCTTGAAGGAGGTGACACCTAAAGCTTGCAGAATGTGAAAGACTTAAGCAGGCACAGTTTAGGGGCATTATGGGCAGAGAAAGCAGCATGTGTAGACATGGAGGTGGAAAAGACCGCATTCCAGCACGTGGGAGAGAGAGACGAGGCTGAAGGTAGGGAGGACCAGATCATGAAAAGGGGACCTTTTTGCCACCATGAGGGGTATATGGTGTGAATTTCCCTTCGCTGTATAGTCGGGCATCATCTTCCCTGACCCACAGTCCCAGCCACTGACTGCAGCCTCCCCAGCCAGCACATCTGTGCATGGAGGTATAATCCAACCCACTGCCTCTCCAGGGGCAAATATTTAAACAGAGCCTTTCTCTCAATCAGAATCAGCTCACGGCTAAGGGTGGATGAAAACCTGGCCGCACAAATGACCTTCTTTTTTCTTGAAAACGAAATCTTCCTTCTGTTGGTGGAAAACTCACAATTTTCATTTGCTGTTGCATGCATATAAACTGAATTAAACAAGCTAAAGCAATTTGTTTAGTACCTTTAAATAGAAATTAACAGTGTCTTCCTAGTTTGCTGCAGTAGCTCAAATTTTGAACTTTTTCTCCTTTCATAAGCATCCTTTCTTCAAACTGCAGTTGTCCTTTCCTTCCTTTGTTTACTGCTTCCTTTTCCTCCTGAAACAATAGGAAACCTTAAAAACTGACAGAGGCCCTATAACATATCAAAACTTTTAACTGTCTTTAGTCCTGTGAAAACTTGTATCTGTAGAGTTTCATTAATAAAGTAGTAAAACAAAGTCATACAGGATAAAATGTTGAACCAGCTATTTTTTTACTCTCCTTTACCTGAAAGACTGTCAGTGATGGTGAACCTATGACACGCGTGTCAGAGGTGACACGCGAACTCATTTTTCTTTGTTAAATGGCATTTAAATATATAAAATAAATATCAAAAATATAAGTCTTTGTTTTACTATGGTTGCAAATATCAAAAAAATTCTATATGTGACATGGCACCAGAGTTAAGTTAGGATTTTTCAAAATGCTGACACACCGAGCTCAAAAGGTTCGCCATCACTGGACTAGTCAATAGCATCAGACATACCTAAAGCATTTCTTTGAATATATTAAGGATTCAAGACTGAATTTCTCTTAAGATGTTGGATGTATTCCCAGTTGTAAGCAGTTGTTTTCCCAACATGTAGTCACAAATTTACTAAAGGAGATTGAATTCAATTTGAATTCTGTGTTCTGTTATTTCAACGTTTATTATTTCTAATCAACTTAATTTGAGCATTGGCCTATATTTCAACAACAGTCCACTTGTATTTTGTTTTTTTAAATCAAACTTTCTGTGAGTTTAATACTTGGTCATTAATGACTCTGTAGCACCTGTTGTTTTGTGTCTAACAAACTCATATAGTCCTTACTGTTTGTCAGGTAGTGTTCTAAATGCATTACAGGAACTCATTTAACTTTCATAACAACCCTACGAAGTGGGTACTGTTACTCTCCCTATTTTTCAGATGGAGAAGCTAAGGCTCGGAGAGATTGAGTAAGTTTTCCAAGGTCACACACCTAGTAGAGACAGTTTGCCCCAGAGAATCTGTGCTCATAACCACCAACCCATGCTTCCTCCATTTATTCAACAAATTACTTGTTGAGCTGGGAACTATGCAACATGCAGGCATAATAGGGGAGCAAAAGTGGTCCCTCTGTGACCTCGGGCAAGTTACCAAAGGGTAGAACATAAGAACCTTTTAATGTGCAAATCTCAAAGTATAGAAGGATTTTATAAAAATGAAGGTACTTCTAGTCCTACTCTTGAGAACTTGTGAATCAAATGGGACAAGGGGAAAGGCTGAGATGAGAAGGAATACTTTAAGCACAAGAATAACAACCATGTGCAAGAGAACGCCGCATAAGCTATAATGGTTAACGAAGGTTGTTTAAGTACAAGGACTAGAACATAGAAAGTGTTCAGTTGCCCTAGCTGGTGTGGCTCAGTGGATAGAGCATAGTCCTGTGGACTGAAGGGTCCTAGGTTTGATTCTAGTCAAGAGCACCTACCTCAGTTGCAGGCTCCATCCCTGGCCTTGATTGGGGCATGTGCGGGAGCCAACCAAAAGATGTGTCTCTCTCATAGATGTTTCTCTCTCTGTGTCTCTGTACCTTCCTTTCATTCTCTCTAAAAATCAATAGAAAAATATCATCAGGTGAGAATTAACAAAAAAAGAAAGTGTTCAATGGTCAGGAGACCATTTTCTCCCTACCTTTATTGATAGGGAAACAGGCTTGAAGAGGTTGTCACTTAAATAGCTAATCATGGGGGAATTGGGCGTGAACCCAGGCCGTTACCCAAATGCCAGTGTTCTTCCCACTGCCCCCCCTGCAGAGATGCAGCAGCAGGCTTCTGTGAGGCCTTCTGAATGTGCAAGTCCCAAAGACAACAGATGTGTGGGAGAGAGTCGGGGTGG